ACCACACACACACTGTGGGTCTATGACAGAGATAACAACGTCATGGAGCTGGTATCAGGACGACTGACACACAGATTCAGTACCAAGGATTTACCCTGGTGTATATGTATTACAGCCAGTAACCATGTCATTGTAGGGATGACCAAACACATCTCCAAATTTACCACAGATGGTAAAATGGTGTGTACTACAATGGCTAAAGGGACTGGGGAACCATTAGTGTGTTTACCATGGAGTATCTCAGAGTGTCCTGTCACTCACAATGTGGCAGTCACTGATTTCAGTAGTGAAAGTGATGGTGGTGATGGAAAGGAACATGTTGTTGTGATGGACACTGATTTCAAGAAGCTGTTTGTATATAGAGGTGACATCCCTAGTACATATAACCCAACACCACAAACAGGAGGTAAACCATTTAACCCAAGGGATGTGGTGTATGACAGTGTGGGGAACCTGATCATAGGGGACTATAACAACCACAGGGTCCTACTCATCAGTGGAGGTGGTGAGTTCCTCAGGGTCATACACACAGACACAGGCTTTACATGGGCTGTAGGTATAGACAGGGAGGATGTCCTGTGGGCAGTGTTTGGGACATGGCGTGGCAGAATAGTCAAACTACTACAGTACAGCAGTATGTGACACCTGTAACCAAACAACTAGTATATCTAGTTACCATGACAACAACATGGGAATCGGAGACAAAGGAAACTTATCATGATTACCAATCAACTAAACATGTGTGACAATCACAGGATTAAATATCTAGACGACAGATTGTGTGACATTCACAGGATTATGAGTAAAATGTCTAGACTACAGATTGTGTGACATTCACAGGAATAAAAGTAAAATATCTAGACTGCAGATTGTGTGACATTCACAGGATTATAAGTAACTTGTCTAGACTACAGATTGTGTGACATTCACAGAATTAGAAGTAAAATGTCGAGACTGCAGATTGTGTGACATTCACAGGATTATAAGTAACCTGTCTAGACTACAGATTGTGTGACATTCAAAGGATTATATGTAAAATGTCTAGACTACAGATTGTGTGACATTCACAAGATTATAATTAACTTGTCTAGACTACAGATTGTGTGACATTCACAGGAATAAAAGTAAAATATCTAGACTTCAGATTGTGTGACATTCACAGGATTATAAGTAACCTGTCTAGACTACAGATTGTGTGACATTCACAGGATTGTAAGTAAAATATCTAGACTACAGATTGTGTGACATTCACAGGAATAAAAGTAAAATATCTAGACTTCAGATTGTGTGACATTCACAGGATTATAAGTAACCTGTCTAGACTACAGATTGTGTGACATTCACAGGAATATAAGTAAAATGTCTAGACTACATATTGTGTGACATTCACTGGATTATAATTAAAATGTCTAGACTACAGATTGTGTGACATTCACTGGATTATAATTAAAATGTCTAGACTACAGATTGTGTGACATTTACAGGATTATAAGTAAAATGTCTAGACTACAGATTTTGTGACATTCACAGGATTATATGTAAAATGTCTATACTACAGATTGTGTGACATTCACAGGATTGTAAGTAAAATATCTAGACTACAGATTGTGTGACATTCACAGGAATATAAGTAAAATGTCTAGACTACAGATTGTGCGACATTCACAGGATTATATGTAAAATGTCTATACTACAGATTGTGTGACATTCACAGGATTATATGTAAAATGTCTATACTACAGATTGTGTGACATTCACAGGATTATAAGTAACCTGTCTAGACTACAGATTGTTTGACATTCACAGGATTGTAAGTAAAATATCTAGACTACAGATTGTGTGACATTCACAAGATTATAAGTAACTTGTCTAGACTACAGATTGTGTGACATTCACAGAATTAGAAGTAAAATGTCTAGACTACAGATTGTGAGACATTCACAGGAAAATAAGTCAAATGTCTAAACTACAGATTGTGTGACATTCACAGGATTATAAGTTAAATGTCAAGACTACAGATTGTGTGATATTCAAAGGATTATAAGTAAAATATCTAGACTACAGATTGTGGGACATTCACAGGATTATAAGTAAAATGTCTAGACTACAGATTGTGTGACATTCACAGGATTATAAGTAAAATGTCTAGACTACAGATTGTGAGACATTCACAGGATTATAAGTAAAATATCTTGACTACAGAATGTGTGACATTCACAGGATTATAAGAAAAATGTCTTGACAACAGATTGTGTGACATTCACAGGATTATAAGTAAAATATCTAGACGACAGATTGTGGGACATTCACAGGATTATAAGTAAAATGTCTAGACTACAGATTGTGTGACATTCACAGGAGTATAAGTAAAATATCTAGATTACAGATTGTGTGACATTCACATGATTATAAGTAAAATGTCTACACTACAGATTGTGTGACATTTACAGGATTATAAATAAAATGTATTGACTACAGATTGTGTGACATTCACAGGATTATAAGCAAAATGTCTAGACTAGAGATTATGTGACATTCACAGGATTATAAATAAAATGTATTGACTACAGATTGTGTGACATTCACAGGATTATAAGTAAAATATCTAGATTACAGATTGTGTGACATTCACAGGATTATAAATAAAATGTATTGACTACAGACTGTGTGACATTCACAGGATGATAAGTAAAAGTGTCTCGACTACAGATTGTGTGACATTGACATTCACAGGATTATAAACAAGAGGCCCATGGGCCTTAACGGTCACCTGAGTCCTACAGTATTTATTTTTGTTGTTGAAATATGTACCAATTAAGGTTACAGATTGTGTGACATTCACAGGATTATAAGTGAATTGTCTAGACTACAGATTGTGTGACATTCACAGGATTTTATTTGCATTTGGTATGCATCCTTCCATTGCAATGCATTGATAATCCAAATGTTGTTATGAGACTATAACAACATTTGCTATTGTAACGTCATCAATCTCTATTGTGACGTTATCAATTTCATTGTTGTCAACACTTAATTTGCTGGTCAAAAACTAAATAAAGCATAACTACTCTTTAATTTGCTGGTCAAAAACTAAATAAAGCATAACTACTCTATCAAAATGTAAAGATAAGTAAAGAATATTTTACCAAATATTGTTATGGTCCTATAACACATATTTCTATTGCTGACAAACTTAAATAAAGCCCTGCCGGGCTTGCCTTTATTAAGTTTGTCATCAATAGCAATGTGTGTTATAGGATCAAAAAGCAAAACATGTACAAGCTGTCCTGCAAATGTCTAAAACTTGTTCTAACTTTTCCAATAAGATTCATCAGTTTTGAAATATGTAATATCAAAGTTTTAATACAGAAACAATGTATATATTAAACGTGTCACAACATTTCAAGACCTACTGGTCCCTTTGTCAAGCTATCCTACATTGTTTGTGTAGTAAGAAAAACTCTGATATTATTCCAACTTTTCTTGTATCTCAAATTAATTATCTTAGTTTTATTCATCAGATGCCTAAATATGCACAACTTTTTCTATTTTTAGACATTTTATCGAAAACTTTTAAAATTTCTCAAAATTTGTAAAAGCCTTGTTCAAAACACGTACCAACTTCTAAATCCTAAAATGTTCCATGTTCTAAGACTTCGCAAATAAACTTGTCAAAAACATGATACAATTTCAACATCTTGTAATATATTTATACAATGTCTTTTTGAACATTCATAAACATCACAGACAGAAAAGGTACCAATTCTTTATATCATATAGACTAAGTATAATAATATCTTTAATATTTATACAGGGTAACATATTTAAAATATTTTACAAGAATACCATACTAACTTTCTCTAACTTGTCGAAAAAAATACAACTTCCACCTACAAGATACTAATTAAAAAACCCAGAAAATGTTGTGGGGATATATTTTGTTTCATGCTTGTTAATTTTTTTAATTAAAATATGCATTTGTTTTTTATACCCATTGGTATTTGCATGATAACCTAACATATACATAACAGCAACACATCCCGTGTTCCCAGAAACCCCCAAAATGAGGGATTTTCACCCCAAACATTTTGTTGTACCCAAGTTTTCAAGGATTGCCCTATGTTACTAAGTACCTAGAGGTGCAGAATCTTGAAAATTCAGTGGGAACACTGACATCTGAAACTTGCACCGTGCGTTATACATGTAGTACATTGTATATTGTCTGTATCACTGCAGTAATGCATACATGTATGTCTTATATGTATGCATTCCACTCATACTGTACTCCGTAATTGTATTGTTTCAGTGGTCAGTCTTGGTTGTGTGACATCATGCAGCTTCTGTTATTTCATTGATTGTGTTATTGGGTGATAATTAAGGGAGATAATAGTTTTGATGTCAAGTGTTCAGACATGTTCTCTACTGACTGAACAGATCTGACAAATCTCCATATCATTGCATGTATACCTGTAGATGTACTTAATGGATACGTTTGGTTTGGTTTTATTTGTTTAACGTTCTATCAACAGCTAAGGTCATTTAAGGACCGTGGACGTGCCTCCATTGGTGTTGTGTATGCATGCTTGCATGTGGGTGTGTTTTGTGTGCAGGAGGAGAGGTGCTTATTGGAACAAGCCTTTCAGATTGATATGTCTCCCTTGTGCCCCGCTTTGACCATCTGATGCACAGGTCAAGTTTGGTTGATGTAGCGCTTATAGTTTCAGAGAAACTAACTTAAACGCAAAAACTTAATGTTGATGGAGATGCTGACAAAGTCAATGGACCATGAAAGGTGGGCCGTATCGAGCCTTTGATGCATGGGTTGAGATGTCTACCTAAGATGCATCTATGGTCCAAGATTGGTTGGTGTAGCACTTATACTTTCAGTGAAACTAACTTAAACGCAAAAACTTAATGTTGACGCAGCCGCCATCACCGGAAAAGCAATATTTTAGTCTCGCTTCCGCTACCTTGTGGCAGCGAGACAATAAAGTACTTACATCTCTCATGAGACTGAGGTGGCTACAGCACTGTCTCAGTCGCAGCAGCAACACAAGGATTTGTTGAGCTCCAACCTTCTTGTTCTGGGGTGTGGCACCTCCCACCCCGCCCATTCTACCATTGTCTTCACGATCTTTGAACGGGTTGATGTTCTCATTGGTAATACCCTCCTTCTCATCCTGTCTTCTAAGATATTCTTTTAGTACTGACCTTTGAGGACAAATTAAAACCAGAAAATGCATTTTCACTTTATTTCTTCATAAATGACTTGATTTTATTTCTTTATAAATTACTTTCATTTAATTCCTCATAAATAACTTCATTTTATTTCTTCATAAACGAAATCCTTACATTCAGAATTCTGATGTTTAGAATCAATTTTTTTATACAATGCTAAGTACATGTATCACAGATGTAATTTGTAATAGCTGAAAATCTCTCACACATTAATCTTACTTCCGCTTTCACACAAACAATTCTTGATTTTCATTTTTAATGTATTTTTTAAAGATTGACCTTTTACATTACATTTATATCAGGAAAGCAGAAAAGAAAATGTTAATAAACAACAGAAAAATAGACAGAAGATGAGAAAAAGACATGGACAAACATATAATGACACATAGACATAGACAGACACGGAGAGAGAGAGAGAGGGACAGAGAGAGAGAGGTCAGGCAATCATATATATCCGTATATATCTATATCTATGACTGCAGGCAAAGGAAAACAGGAAGGAGTAAAGAGCATATGTTGTCAGCTGCAAATGTCAATATGTATATAGTTATAGTTATACAAATTATTTTGATGTCTTATAGATAGGAATAATGGATACAAAACAACTCACAAACTATTCACCAATAATATATAATATTATTACGGTAAAATGTAATCTTAAACAATGTTCAGAAAATAAAAGATTATATAATTAAAGAGTTATTAAGTAACTTTAGCCATTTTTTCTAATCATTTTGAAAATTGTTATTGTATTTGTCATCTTTACCTGTTGCAATATTTTTGTGTAGAATAGTTGTCCTTGATTGCGTTTTTAAGACCATTTATTGATAAATTTGTTTGTAGATATCTTGCTGAATAAATATATTGTTTAATAATCTGTCTATTGGTGTTCTTATTCCATCTTGATTGTATAGTCCAAAGATAAACGTCTCCTTCTTGTAAGCAAAAGGGATCATTATTAAACCATCTAATAAAAGGAAGCCCATGGGCCTTAACGGTCACCCGAGTTATGATATATCTATACAGAGAGTTGATTTTTGCTTTTAAAACATGAACAGAAATATTATTCAAAGTGACAAAAAACAATGAAACCACCTTATTCAATATCTAGCATACAGATTTAAGACTGGAAAGTATTTGAAACTAGCACCTCTAATTCTAAACAAGGAAAATGAAGAAATTTTAGCACACTGAATCCTTTGGGCCCTGCCCAGTACAGCCCTTGGGGGTATACGTAGGGCTGGCTCAAAATTTTCAAAGTATCAAACTGTCAACTCAGGGTTATAATTCCAATCAAGTTATCAACATGTAATTTCCAAAGTATCATTTGCAATGGATATTAAACAAATGTTGGTCCAAAATGTGATTTCCCTATATAAGCTATAGTAAAGTTTACCCCCTCCCCAGGGGGAAACGTGAGACCCTAGGGTCATAAAACTCACACTTTTGGTAGAGCACCTTAAAACCCTTCCATCTATGAAGAGTATTTGATTCTACCATATCTGGGTCTTGAGAAGAAGGTTTTTAAATTTCAGTCAATTTGACCAGTTTTGGCCCCACCCATCAGCCCCTGGGGATCAGTCAGGGCTCATATGTGCATACCATCAAACTGCTATCCAATACTGATAATCCTAACCCAAATTGAATTACTTCCAATGGAAATTAAACAAATGTTGGTCCAAATTGTGATTTCCCTATATAAACTATAGCAAAGTTTACCCCCTCCCCAGGGGGAAACGTGAGACTCCAGGGCCAAGAAATTCACATATTTGGTAAAGCACTTTAAGACCCTTCCATCTCTGAAGAGTATTTGATTCTATCATATCTTGGTCTTGAGAAGAAGATTTTTGAAATTTTAGTCAATTTGACACTTTTTGGGCCACCCCTCAGGCCCCTGGGGGTTGGGGGCCATATAATTCAAAATTGTGGTTGACCTTTGGACATGGAAGGTTTCAGCAAAATTTCATTGAAATTGTTCCAGGGGTTTTGGAGAAGAAGTCAAAAATGTAAATTGTTTAAGGACGCAAGACGGACGACGCCAGACAAAAGGCGATCGCAATAGGTCACTTGAGACTTTGTCTCAGGTAACCTAAAAACTCAAAATTTTGTAACACAACCTGCACATTATCACATTCCCATAGGGTATGTTTTATTTTTTAAATATCAGTTTTATATGAGTTACAATAAGGACTATCAGCTATTCGTGCCTTAAATAAGAATGAGTTTGTTGTCAGAATGTGTTGATTGATTCTGTATTAATGAAGCCACTGTAATTTTGAATTTTCGGTTATATGAAAAGGCATTTTGTATATTTTCCTCCATGTTTCATTATCAAAATTTAAAATGTCATTCCATTTTTTTCTTCCAGTGGATATTGTATTATTTTTACTGAGTAAATAATAAAAACTTTTGTCCCTTTTTTTTACTGTGGAAAAGTATTTCTAGATTAATTTGTATGAAAGGATAGATAGGATACGGTAAATCTTGTTTCTGTATACGTATATGTCTTCGAATAGCTGATATAAGTCCTTGGTAATTAAGGAAGTTTGTATTTATATCAAAGACCTGTTGAAATTCCTTAAAAGAGTAAATCGAATTAGTGTTTTTATTGATTAAGTAGCTAATAATAATAATTCCTTCTTTATTGTACCAATCCCAATAAAAAATACTCTGATTATCTTCTTTACATTATTATACCATATTGGTGTTCTGGCCAATATATCTGGAGATTGATAAAAATGGTGTTTATTTGATAAGTTTATCCATGCTTCAAAGACATCTTTCCAAAATACGTTCTTGCAGTTATTGTGACATATTGAAATATATTCCGTTCCACAGTTAGCCAAAATATGATCATCAACAGAAGTTCTACAATAATTTGCCATTTACTTGGACTTGTATAGTCTCCTTAACCAAGTTAACTATAGAGATTCAATGAAAGACTTTACATGTAACATTCTGATGTTTAGATTAACCCTTTCACCACTGTAGACCATAATAGACTCATCCAGATCAGTGCATGGTAGAGTCTACTAAAGTTACATAGGGGTGAAAGGGTTAACCATTATTAAACAATCAAACATTTGTCAATTGAAGTTAAAGAAGCACAATGTGTCTATTCCCATACAGTTAAAAAAAAATGTAATATTTATTATTTAACAGCTCAACATAATCCAATATGTACTACATGTAATGCAGCAGATTTAATTGTATCTTTAATTTGCCAGAAAATGTTTTCTTTATAACACAGGTCTTAAAGAGCTTTGCCGCAACTAAAACACAGACAGGTCAGCAAGGGCCTTGCCTTAACCCTTTCACCTCTGTAGACCATAATGGACTCATCCAGATCAATGTATGGTAGAGTCTACTAAAGTTACCTAGGGGTGAAAGCCTTAAACCTTAAAAACTGTTTTCAATTCCTATATTGCACATCTATACATATCAAAGTGTATAAACACGTTAAATTTCAAAATGATTAGACTTTTGCCCTGAATTTCTCAGATCTATTTATGTCAAACTTTAATTAAATCAAACTCAATCTAAAGTTCACGCTCACCGAGACTGGGAGAAGACTCGGTCATACACAGATCTTTCACTTTCTGATAGTTCTAATTCCCACACTTTACTTGACTTGGAGGTCATGGCAACCTGTAAAAAAAGGAAAAGACACTATAATGAAGCTACATATTCTTACTCAAAAAAGTTTAATTGTATCCTTTTTGGTGCTGGCCAATTCCTAAATCTGAAATTTCAAAGGGTTCAGCATTATCACGATTTTAAGTGTGTAGTGAGTTTGAAAATATGATATTTTCATTAATATTTACATCATGGGGCCCCTTTCGCATATCAGGTTCAACCGGTTTGTCTGTATTTAAAAGTATTTTTTTTTGGGTATAAATTCTTGCGGACTTTCAAATGTTTATCCAAGCCTTGCATAGGCTTGTCAAGACTCACCTGAAAGCAGCATCAGATTATTGGGTCCGACCTTATTTCATAAACGAACAACTCTGGTCCAACCGGTTCAAACATTTGGATCCAGAAAAACGATACTTATTAAATACAAGAGGCCCAATGGGCCTGCATCGCTCACCTGGTATTAATCTCACACTTGTAATCTTAAAAGTGGACTAAAATACAGCTACAGGCAGAATATCAGTGTTTGATTCATCAGAACCTATTAAAAGATTTAAACATATGACGCCTGTGACCTTGAATGTCGAACAAGGACATCAGGTTGAAAGTGGATCAAGGTCATTCATTTGATTAAACTTGGTAGTCCTTCATCCCAGCATGCTACAGGCCTAATTTCAGTACCCTGGGCCTTTTGGTTATTGAGAAGTTGTTTGAAGATTTTAAAACATTTGACCCCTGTGACCTTGAAAGCTGGTCAAGGTCATTCATTTGAACAAACTTGGTAGCCCTTCATCCCAGCATGCTACAGGCCCAATATCAGTACCCTGGGCCTTTTAGTTATTGAGAAGAAGTTGTTTGAAGATTTTAAGACATTTGACCCCTTTGACCTTGAAAGTGGGTCAAGGTCATTTATTTGAACAAACTTTGTAGCCCTTCATCCCAGCATGCTACAGGCCTAATATCAGTACCCTGGGCCTTTTGGTTATTGAGAAGAAGTTGTTTAAAGTAAAAAGTTGACGCCGGACAGACAGACGGATGAACGGACGGACGACGGACGCCGCACCATAACATAATACTTATATTGAAGCAGATCCTTTCAAAGAATTGAAACTATTAAATCATTGTTTAAAGCCACTGCAATGAATTTGATACACATGGATCCAGACCTTTATCCTTTAATGAATGACTTATCAACGGTTTTAATAATCCTGAAATTACCAAGGGTTTCCCTGTCTTGTCTGTCTGTGTTTTTGTCCTCCGTAGCAACAACGATTTCACAAGAATGTTCAGCCTGTTTTGTCCCGAAGCTGCAATAAGAATCCAGAATTACTATTGGAAATTTCAAAACTTTTTTTTTTTAAATTTGCTAATTAATGATACATGCAGAAATTTCTACAAACCAGATTTGAAATTTGCAGTCCCTTTCCCATTCATGGAATTTAATTTTCTTACATTTGCCCTTCAATTTTTCTCACTTGCGTGAAAGGAATTTGAATTCGAAAAATAAGGTAAGAAATAGATCTTGAAGAATAATGTAAGGATTACATTTCGAGGAATAATGTAAGAATTTGATTTTGAAGAAAAATGTAAGGATTAGATTTTGAAGAATAGAATAATTAATATACCTGGGATAGAGCCTCACCTAGTGATGATCAATCCCAGAAGTGTCACTATCTTATGGTAACTAAGCTAGTTGATGGAACAGTTGGTATACTACCTATCCACCAGTGTTACAGTACATTAAATTTGAATTCTTAACTTACACTTTCCCGTATCTACTTGTTGTTTCCAAACTTTGTACTCATCAAATGGGGAACACCTCAAGAATCTACAAGTATAAATAAAAAGGATTCCTGAAAGCTTTGTTCCAATATATACACAAAGTCTCTCTCCATCATTCTGTTGTGGGCAAATAATAATTTTGATATTCATTACCAAGTCTTCTTTCATGCCTTTTTAATGATATATTGAAGTTAATATTTGAAATTCATGACCATTCAGTAATGGCCATTACAAATTTTGAACAAGAAGAATGGCTTCTTTTAAGGGATTTATGGATTTTAATGTTTTTTTAATTGAATTTTAATGATCTGACTCTTTAGTAGTGTTACTTCAATGGTGTCTACAGTTGGTTCCAGTGATAGCCCTACCTCAATAGTGAGTACATGTCCAGAAGGTGGTTCTATATTGGGGTACCAGTGATTGCCTAACCTCAATAGTGAGTACATGTCCAGAGGTTGGTTCTATATTGGGGTACCAGTGATTGCACTACCTCAATAGTGAGTACATGTCCAGAAGGTGGTTCTATATTGGGGTACCAGTGATTGCCCCACCTCAATAGTGAGTACATGTCCAGAAGTCGGTTCTATATTGGGGTACCAGTGATTGCCGTACCTCAATAGTGAGTACATGTCCAGAAGTCGGTTCTATATTGGGGTACCAGTGATTGCCTAACCTCAATAGTGAGTACATGTCCAGAGGTTGGTTCTATATTGGGGTACCAGTGATTGTCCTACCTCAATAGTGAGTACATGTCCTGAAGTTGGTTCTATATTGGGGTACCAGTGATTGCCTTACCTCAATAGTGAGTACATGTCCGGAAGTTGGTTCTATATTGGGGTACCAGTGATTGCCCCACCTCAATAGTGAGTACATGTCCAGAAGTCGGTTCTATATTGGGGTACCAGTGATTGCCTAACCTCAATAGTGAGTACATGTCCAGAGGTTGGTTCTATATTGGGGTACCAGTGATTGCCGTACCTCAATAGTGAGTACATGTCCAGAAGGTGGTTCTATATTGGGGTACCAGTGATTGCCCCACCTCAATAGTGAGTACATGTCCAGAAGTCGGTTCTATATTGGGGTACCAGTGATTGCCGTACCTCAATAGTGAGTACATGTCCAGAAGCTGGTTCTATATTGGGGAACCAGTGATTGCCCTACCTCAATAGCGAGTACATGTCCAGAAGTTGGTTCTGTATTGGGGTACAAGTGATAGCCCATCTGTATGATGCTCTCAAACGACTCACAGCCATAGCAGTGAGACTCTTGGGGTTCTTGATGTTGTGTGCCTCGTCCAGAAGAATTCTCTCAGAAGTTGGTTCTATATTGGGGTACCAATGATTGCCCTACCTCAATAGTGAGTACATGTCCAGGAGTTGGTTCTATATTGGGGTACCAGTGATTGCCCCACCTCAATAGTGAGTACATGTCCAGAAGTGGGTTCTGTATGGGGTACCAATGATAGCGCTACCTCAATAGTGAGTACATATCCAGAAGTTGGTTCTGTATGGGGGGAACCAGTGATAGCCCTACCTCAATAGTGAGGACATGTCCAGAAGTTGGTTCTATATTGGGTACCAGTGTTAGCCCTACCTCAATAGTGAGTACATGTCAGAAGTTGGTTCTGTATGGGGTACCAGTGATAGCCCTGCCTCAATAGTGAGTACATGTCCAGAAGTGGGTTCTGTATGGGGGACCAATGATAGCCCTACCTCAATAGTGAGTAGATGTCCAGAAGTTGGTTCTATATTGGGGTGCCAGTGATTGCCCTACCTCAATAGTGAGTGCATGTCGAGAAGTTGGTTCTATATTGGGGTACAAGTGATTGCCCTACCTCAATAGTGAGTATATGTCCAGAAGTTGGTTCTGTATGGGGTACCAATTATAGCCCTACCTCAATAGTGATTACATGTCCAGAAGTTGGTTCTATATTGGGGTACCAATGATTGCCTTACCTCAATAGTGAGTACATGTCCGGAAGTTGGTTCTATATTGGGGTACCAGTGATTGCCCCACCTCAATAGTGAGTACATGTCCAGAAGTCGGTTCTATATTGGGGTACCAGTGATTGCCGTACCTCAATAGTGAGTACATGTCCAGAAGGTGGTTCTATATTGGGGTACCAGTGATTGCCCCACCTCAATAGTGAGTACATGTCCAGAAGTCGGTTCTATATTGGGGTACCAGTGATTGCCTAACCTCAATAGTGAGTACATGTCCAGAGGTTGGTTCTATATTGGGGTACCAGTGATTGCCGTACCTCAATAGTGAGTACATGTCCAGAAGTCGGTTCTATATTGGGGTACCAGTGATTGCCCCACCTCAATAGTGAGTACATGTCCAGAAGTTGGTCCTATATTGGGGTACCAGTGATTGCCCTACTTCAATAATGAGTACATGTCCAGAAGTTGGTTCTGTATTGGGGTACCAGTGATTGCCCTACCTCGATAGTGAGTACATGTCCAGAAGTTGGTTCTTTATTGGGGTCCCAGTGATTGCCCTACCTCAATAGTGAGTAGATGTCCAGAAGTTGGTTCTATATTGGGGTACCAGTTATTGCCCTACCTCAATAGAGAGAACATGTCCAGAAGTTGGTCCTGTATGGGGTACAAGTGATTGCCATAACGCAATAGTGAGTTCATGTCCAGAAGTTGGTTCTATATTGGGGAACCAGTGATTGACCTACCTCAATAGTGAGTACATGTCCAGAAGGTGGTTCTGTATGGGTTACCAGTGATAGCCCTACCTCAATAGTGAGAATATGTCCAGAAGTTGGTTCTATATTGGGGTACCAATGATTGCCTTACCTCAATAGTGAGTACATGTCCAGAAGGTGGTTCTATATTGGGGTACCAGTGATTGCACTACCTCAATAGTGAGTACATGTCCAGAAGGTGGTTCTATATGGGGTACCAGTGATTGCCCTACCTCAATAGTTAGTACATGTCCAGAAGTTGGTTCTGTCTGGGGTTCCAATGATAACCCTACCTCAATAGTGAGTACATGTCCAGGAGTTGGTTCTATATTGGGGTACCAGTGATTGTCCTACCTCAATAGTGAGTACATGTCCTGAAGTTGGTTCTGTATGGGGTACCAGTGATAGCCCTGCCTCAATAGTGAGTACATGTCCAGAAGTTTGTTCTGTATTGGGGTACCAGTGATAGTCCATCTGTATGATGCTCTCAAACGACTCACGGCCATAGCAGTGAGACTCTTGTGGTTCTTGATGTTGTGTGCCTCGTCCAGAAGAATTCTCTCAGAAGTTGGTTCTATATTGGGGTACCAATGATTGCCTTACCTCAATAGTGAGTACATGTCCAGAGGTTGGTTCTATATTGGGGTACCAGTGATTGCCGTACCTCAATAGTGAGTACATGTCCAGAAGTCGGTTCTATATTGGGGTACCAGTGATTGCCCCACCTCAATAGTGAGTACATGTCCAGAAGTCGGTTCTATATTGGGGTACCAGTGATTGCCTAACCTCAATAGTGAGTACATGTCCAGAGGTTGGTTCTATATTGGGGTACCAGTGATTGCCGTACCTCAATAGTGAGTACATGTCCAGAAGCTGGTTCTGTATGGGGTACCAGTGATAGCCCGAGGTCAATAGTGAGTACATGTCCAGAAGTTGGTCCTATATTGGGGTACCAGTGATTGCCCTACCTCAAAAGTGAGTACATGTCCAGAAGTTGGTTCTGTATTGGGGTACCAGTGATAGCCCATCTGTATGATGCTCTCAAACGACTCACAGCCATAGCAGTGAGACTCTTGTGGTTCTTGATGTTGTGTGCCTCGTCCAGAAGAATTCTCTCCCATACGATTCTCAGCAGGTTACACTGCAAGACAGGGTCCGACGTCTGTAACGCAATACAATACTAATAATATAATACTTAACTCAACCATGTTTCAATCCTTCTGAAAAGCATAACATTGGCAGATGGTGGATGGTGAAAAACCAGGTATGAGAATATTTTGTAAAGATTTTAATACAATCTATCTATAAAATTTTGACCATTCTATCAATTCTAAGAAGCTTTGGGGTTACTGATTACTTGCAGAATTTTACATGCAAAAGTCTTTGATTTTTGTTTACTGTCGAGCCTAAAGATATACCATGAAAAAACTTTGCCATAAACATGAGTTTCAAAAGTAAGATGAAATTACAAAGGGGACAAGAAAACTTCTTTGAGAGCTATCAAATTTCATGATGACAAACTTTGATTCTGAAGTTTTCTATTGAAAAGTGGCCTTCTGCAAGTAGGGTGAAGTTATCATTACAGCGAACATTTGTGCACAACTTAACATAAAGTAATCAATCAAATGGGAATGGCCAAATTTACACTGGGCGAATACGGATTTGTCATTGGTATGGCAAAAACTTGACCGGGCGGAATTTCCCCGGTAAACAGCAAGTCAACATTTTTAGGACAAGAGTCTGGAGAAAAGTTTCTGATATCCAAATAAAATCTTACCCCAGACTGAGGATTTTCAGGTTCTTCGTCATCCTTCACCGGTTCGTCTGCACTGGCAGTCAAGGAGGAGCCAACTTCTTTTGCCACAATGTTATACGTGGTGATGACTACGTCATGTTCAGCGAGCCTGTCGTATCAAACGGTTTATATTTAATAAAATGATAACAAGTTTGTTTTTCTTTAATGTTATTCAATTCCTTTTTATGGGACCTTGATTTTTTTATACTCTATTGCAGGTTTAAAACAGACACATAGCTTGATATCTAGTAAGGGTGTCACAATATGCCTGGAGTGTATCACAATATATTTCAATATAGAAGCAATGTATTGCGATACGTATCCCAATATATGTCAAAAATATTACAATACAGCAGTGATTTTTTTTGCCTAGTTTTACACCTGAATACAGGCTTTTTCCCTTGCCTAAAAAAGTGCTTTATTTTCCCAAAATGAGAAAAAACTGGAATATCTTCCCAATTTCAATAATAATAATGCTGTTTTTTCCAATTCATGTAGGAACAGGCTGTTGTAAAATTTAGGTTGAAAAACCACTGTACAGTGATATTTCGTTTCTGTATTGCGATATGATACAAATATGTCTGTGTATTGCAATACACAGGTTTACCTATATATTGTGACAACCATAGCATCCATGTATTCATAACAACACCTATGATAAACATCAAACCAATTGCAACATAACTTATTTCTGGTTTTTCATACAGGTTGGTTTATACTGTGTAACAGAAAAAAAATCTACAAAAATCGACTTTTGGGAAAATGTTTTTTTTATGCCCGAAATAGGATCAAGAAAATAAGAATAATTGCCTACTGGACCAACATTGAAGTGTAAATATCAACCTCTTGTGTAACACTAAATAGGAGGAATTAACTGTATTGGAAGACCAATCAGTGTACAGTAAAAATTAGCCAAAAAAAAAAAAGGATCATCACATTGAAAGAATATCACACCATGAATATTGCTTAAAGCATTCAAATGTCGAACATATTAGCTTTTGTTGCATTTTTGTGACAGAATATTAAGTTAATCAACATCAATATCGATACTGGCTTTGTAGAAATGCATTGACAACTTATTTGTGTATTAAAGTTTCATAAATTAGAAGTTTTTCTTTCACATATTAGAATGTATGGATGTTTAAAGTTGGCCTGCGGGGCTGTTGGGAGCTGTTTTAAAGTCCAAATTGAACAACATTTCAATTTATACATGTAAGGTTTTAACATTATCTTCAGCAAAATACTGCAAAGTGCTCTAAACCATTTTCTATGCAGGTTACTCTTAGCAATAATGCCATCTTGGTTAAGATATCTCCAAATAATGAATGAAGTCAGGTTGATGAATACCTCACCTCGTGCAAATTTGACTAAACTGTTCAAAATGGCTAAGTCCATGATTTTGGACAACAGAACTGTGAATATTTTGTGTGTGTTTTATCTGATTGCTAAATCTTTTGGCAGGAATTACCACCATAACATGGTCCTCTTGATTAAGGGGAAGTAAGGTTAAATTTGTATCTTATTATTTTAACAGATCATTTTTTTCTTTCACACAATACAACAGAATGGGGGGATACGTAATTTTCAATAAAATGATGAAGTTGTATAATATGAATGTTTAACTTAAAATTCTCAAAAAAACATCTGTTTTATCATTGCTTTACTGGCAAAATCATTTGTAAATCGGACAAAACTGGTGCACAAAATATAGATTTTCGTTGTTCAGAATCATGGACTTTTTTCAGTGTTGAGGCAAAATTGCATGAGATGAAGTTTTCACCATCAGAGCTTGGACACATTTGTACACTTATCTTACCAAAATAACCATTTCCAATAAGTTCTGCACACATACAATTGGATATAAAATGCTTGAAAGCATTTGCTTGTCCTTTTTCAAATTACATGTTACAGAAATAGTTTAATTGTTTATTTTGGACATAAGTTAACACCAAAGTGGCACATTTGGTCAAATTAGATGGTTGATATTTTTTTGTATGTGAATGTATCATTTTTCGCGCATTAATATTAGATAAAATGTGATGTTTTAAGAAGCTTAAGATATAGACTCATAAGGTCACTGATATTAAGTAATTAGTATTTTCTGCATTTAAATAGAAAACAAAAGTCAATATTGTCAAGCTAAAAATGCTTTTAAGCCATTTTCATAGTTCAATAATTTTTCAATGCAATACCTCTGCTGTAACATTTTGGTAAATCTGTACTATATTTCAGTTGGTCTTGCTATACGGTTAATCTTATATATCCAGTATTGTAAAAGAGGTATATATTACACTTCAAAAGTGGTCAGATATGTGATTTTCCTTATTTTCTTGATCCTATAGAAGGTCAAAAAATTATTTTACCAAAGTTTGATTCCAGGAGACTTTTTTCCTGTTATAATTCTGATAACTACCATTCCAAAAAACAAAAAATAAATTCTGATGCAATTAGTTTGAGGTTTGGGCTGATTTATCATAGGGTGACTAGACTACCTAGGCTATAGAATAATTGATTCATATTATGCCATTTCATATTCCTATCTCCATTCTGAGGTTTAACCAGACTCGACAATGATATTTCTAGGCGTGACATGCACACCATGTACATCCACAATCTTATAAGTTACAAGAGATCCCTTACGGATCTTGGCGCCCACCATTGTTCCATCTTCATTATTTCTATGTTAGTTTGATCTTTTCTCTTATCTGTTTGATCAAGTCATGCATACCATAATAATGCACCTTGAGGTAACTTGATCTAGACTGGACATACTGCTGTGTATGAAAGACAACATTCAATGTGAGTTTATCATTTCACATATTTACTATTACAGTACTTTAATGTGGAAGATTAATACAGAACTTGAGAATGTTCTGTTAAGTTCTTCCTGCAGTCATCTTGTTTTTATGATCACTTTCAAAATAAAACACCCACAACTAAGGACCAATTGGAACCTATACCTGTATATCAAATTTGAGAAAGACACCTCAAGCACTTTCTGAAGATTATAGCAATAACAAACTGTAACGGTCAAAATCCAAGATGGCCACCCTTCATCCATTTTGTTTATTCCATCAGTCACAAAAGTAAACATGCACAATTAAGGACCAATGAAAACCTACATAGCAAATTTGAGTAAGACCCATCCAGTACGTTCTGAGAAATAGTGATAACAAACTGTCTAAATCCAAAATGGCCACCTGTCGGCCATTTTGATTATCTAATGAATCTCGAAAGTCAACATGCACAACTCAACTACAGACCAATTGCAAGGTGAACATACATATCAAATTTGAGAAAGATCCTTCCAGTACTTTCTGAGAAATAGCGCTCACATTCTTTACTTCTAAAAATTCAAGATGGCACCTGTCAGCCATCTTAGTTTTCTGATCAGTCCAAAAATTTGATATGCAAAACTAGGGACCATGGGATACCTTCATGTGAAGTTTCTCCAGCACTTCCTGAGAAATAGCGCTAACAAGAATTGTTTAAGGACGGACGGACCATGGACGAAGGGCGATTTGAATCCTCCATGACAGTAGTATGGCCAAAAAAGTTTGAAAGGATTTTGGCCAAGATAATTTACACAACATATACACATTCAATGATTCACTAGGCTGATATAGATGGTGAGTCACCTGCCCTGTCCATCATCTGGACATGATCATGAGTACCCAGAGAGACAGGGTCTCGGTGAATACACATATTATTGCATCACATTACCTGTAAAAAATGAAATTATGAAAAATTGTGGCCAAAATCCTTTAAGGATAGGCAAGTCCCCTGGGCAGGGCTGATCTTGCCAGCATATGTGTATCCAAATCTTCATGCAAAGCAAATGCATATATTATAATAGGGTTATAGGGTCTCAAAGGTTATGACCCAATGACTAAGCCCTTAAGGGTGTGGCCAGACCCAAGGGTCAATTATAATACAATGACTGTATATATACAGTTATGACCAAGGAACAAGTCTCTAAGGCCCGAGACCCTTGGGGGTCAATTCGTATATCTTTATTGTTTCTGTCGCTTTGTGCTCAGCATTTATATGTATTTACATTTGAGCTGCAAACCCACTTAATGAATATTACCAGCAGAAATGCATTTTATTTGAGTATGAAAGCAAAAACTCTCGTGACATATTATGTGGTTTACTTATGAAGTCATAGATAAACCTTGTTTAATGAGTGTTGTCGCTTCGCTTCGGATAACATGGAGAATGGCCCTGCGTCAAACACTCAAATGACCATAGTTAATTATTGGCACAAATTTTATTTAAATAGGGTTGTTCCTCCAATGTCATTTAAAGGACGACGCATATATAAAACGCAGTAAATAATTAAATAAATTTAGACCAAATAAATGAAATTAAACAATTGTTCTATAGTCAAAATGTAAATATATGGATTGAACAGCGTTTTTTTCATGCTGGTATGAACGCAAATCGGTTACATCCATATTAAACATGAAGTCCTAGCAGGTTTCATGCCATATGGATGTAACCGAATTGTGTTCATAATGTGGCCATTCCGGTAGACTATGTTTGTGTGTGTGTGAACAAAGAGGAATAACTTTTGCAAAAATTAGCATTCCAGCAATGACTGCAGATGAAATATTCTTCCAGGCGGGTATGTCTTATTATCCAATACACAGGTTTATCTACCCACAGTACAGGTATGTCTTATTACCCAATACAAAGGTATATCTACCCACAGTACAGGTATGTCTTATAACACAATACACAGGTATATCTACCTACAGTACAGGTATGTCTTGTTACCTAATACACAGGTATGTCTACCCACAGTACAGGTATGTCTTATTACCCAATACAAAGGTATATCTACCCACAGTACAGGTATGTCTTATAACACAATACACAGGTATATCTACCTACAGTACAGGTATGTCTTGGTACTCAATACACAGGTATATCTACCCACAGTACGGGCATATCTTATTACCCAATACACAGGTATATCTACCTACTGTACAGGTATGTCTTATAACACAATCCACAGGTATATCTACCTACAGTACAGCTATGTCTTATTACCCAATACACAGGTATATCTATCCACAGTACAGGTATGTCTTGTTACCCAATACA